GACATCAAGGGCAGAGCAGACGAAGAGAGGCAGCATGGACGGCAGCCCTGGTCCCTGCCCCTGCAGAATCCGTCACCCTACGCCGGCTCAGCTGCCGACCCCCCCTTTGCCCGCCTTGGACTTGGGGGGCACAGGGAGGCCCTCGTCACCCTCACTGTCGGAGCTGCAGCCGCTGACATCCGTGATCTCCAGCTCTGAGTCGCTGTCCTCCTTCCCGCCCAGCGCTGCCTCTGGACCCCCAGACCCCGGCAGTGCCAGCCGGGGGGCTGCTGCCAGGCCCGAGGGGCGCTCAGAGCCCAGGCCCTCTCCTGTGGCAGCCAGTAGGGGCACGGCTGTGGGGCCTCCCCCTGTCCCTGCTGAGGGCAGGTGGCCCAGGGAGCTGGCCAGAGGGTTGGGATAGAAGTGGGGGGTGTAGAGAGAAGGGGGCAGCTTGGGGAAGGGGCCGGCGAGGTAGGGGTTAAAGTTCCAGGGGTACTCTGGGAAGGCTCGGCTGTAAGGACCCAGCAGGCCAGGGGGCTTGGAATAGCCAGTGGCACCTGGAGGGCACAGGGGTGCATCAGGCTGGGCCACTGCTCACTGTCCAGGCTGCCAGCCTGGGCCTCGGTGGAGGGCGTGCCAGCCTGCTGCACTCCGCCCACACGGTGCTCCCCACTGTCCCTCCCGCACAGTGTCTGCTCCCCCTCACAAGACCCCCCACTCCCCACTCTCCCCTTCCTCTAGAGCCCCCGAAAGCCCTTCTCCCAGCCCGTCCCCCTTTCCAGTTTTCCCTCCTGCCTGCCTCCCCCCGCTTGAACCCTCTGGCTCTTAAACTCAGACGCACACGGCTGCAGCCTCGCCCTGGGCCTCCTTCCTCCGTGCCTCCCACCTGCCCGCCCTCTTCCCTGAAGCACGTGCAGCAGCCCCCCACCTGGCACCCCGATACCCCCCGCCCTTACCTGAGCCCAGGAATGGGAAAGGGCTGTCCAGACGCAGTTTGTCTGTCTCAGGGGTGAACAGGGGTGCCCGGGCCCCCGGCTCTCCCAGGCGTGGGGCCGAGAACAGGGTTTGCAGGGTCTAGAGGGGAAGGTGTGGGAGGTGGCACCGCTCAGACCCGCTGCCTCCTCCCCAGGGGCTCCACGGCCAGGAGGACGCCAAACGCCCTCGTTCTGGGGCCCCAGCCTTACCTCGGGGGTGAGGGGAGGAGCATCTGGCCCAGGACCCCCCCCAAAGGGACCAGGGGTCAGCAAGAGAGGGGAGCCCGTGGTGGCTGCCGCCACGTCCAACAGTGGGTAATTGACAAGCACGACTTTGCTGAAGTTGAACTTGTAGGTGAACCTCTTCCCTTTGGTCTTGTGGAGAATCCTCTTGTTGTAGTAGTAGCTGTGAGGAGAGGGAGAATTGGTGGGAGGGGGCGGGGTGAAGGGAGAGCCGCGAGCCCATGCCCTGTGCCAGCCACAGAGCACGAAAATGGGGGAAACTGAGGCTCACAGAGGTCCCATGATCAAGGTACTAGGGCTAGGAAGGATGAGGCAAGGGCTAGGGTCCTGGCCCCTGTGGCTCCAAAGCCCAGAGCATGCGTCCCGCTCAGGGAAGCACTGGTCCCCGTGCACACGTGATCCGACAGGACCCTGCCCCAGGAGGTCAAGGAAAAGCCCCCCAGGGGATGGGGGCCCAGAGCAACCGTGAGGGTCGGAGGGGCAAGGTCAGTGTCCAGACCGCCGCCCCACTCACCGCAGGGCCCGGCTCAGCTTGTCGTAGTTCATGTGGGGCTTGCACTTGCGGACGCCCCAAAGCCGGGCCACCTCGTCGGGATCCTTGATGACGAACTCTCCGTAGTCCCCCTGCCAGGCGATGACACCCTGGTACTCCTCCTTCTGCAGCAGCTCCAGGATGAAGTGCCACAGCTGGATCTGCCTCGAGCCAGGGGACGACTCCGGCTTGTAGGCCCAATCCGGGAAGGCGAACCCTGGGGACAGAGGCAGGGGAGTGGCCCCTGCTTGGAACCCAGGAGGCGCCCGGCCCTCACCTTGCTCCTGGCCTCTGATGAGCAGCCGCCCAGGCATCTTTAGGGACCCGACGCGCACTCCCCATACCCCACCTGGTGTCTAGGTCCCAAACTGTCCAAACAGTGGGAGAGAACTCAGTGTCGGAGACCCAGGCTGGCGCTTCCAGCCTGATCTGTCTTGGCACAGCTCTCCCGAGGAGGAGGCTGGGAGGGGCCAGCTTACAGAGGGGGGCATCCCCCCCACACCTTAGCCCTTTTCTCCATCGCTCCCCCACCCCGTCCCCGGCCTGCCCCGGGTTTCCCATCTGTCCTACACTCTGCACCCTTGACCTCTGCCGTCCCCTTTCCCGTGCCTTGCTGCCTGCTACATCTCTCCCCGAAGCCCCCCACATCAGCTGACCCCACCTGGCACATCCAGGCCGGGCCTATGTGCACACGTCTCAGCGTCCGTCCAAATATTTAGGCCTTTCACGTCCCTGTGTCCCCTCCCTGCATCCATGCTATGTCTCTGCAGATACCCCATACAGCACACATGTCACACAGACGTCCACTCGCTCTCAAAGGACACCCAGCTACACCCTGGGACACAGAGGCACCAGACCGTCACACTCCTGCTGGGGTGCCATGCATGACACACGATGTGCCATGAAGGTGGACACGCCAGACACCCCCACACTGCACACTGCATCCCAACACACAATCTCACATCTCAGCCCCTCGGAACTGTGACCCACTACAGCACAACCGTGGCTGGGGCTGGCCGGAAACTCACAGGACCTCAAAGGCCCAAGTAAAACACACTGTGGGGGAGACGATGACCTGGCATGGGGACACATGTCAGGCACACGCAGGGTGACACCATGACAGCCTCCCCAACCCCCACACACGTACCCACTCTGTAACACGCATTCCACATGCCACACTCAGGTGGCGTCCTGCACCCCATTGTTCAAATATGCCCAGAAGTTGGGTGGAAATGAGACGTCCTTGCCCGCCCCGAAATCTCACCTCCCATCTAGAGGTCCCAGACCCCGCATCCCGCCTCGGTGCTCACTCCTGTGCTACGTCGTCCTCTGTCCCCCTCCTCAAAGACCCCACACCTAGTCATGGAAACAGAAGGCGGAACTGGCCCGTCAAGGGTTAAGAGCCATGTACAAAAGAGACTGGGGAGGGAGCCCAGCTCTGTCTACTTGCTGTGTGACCCCCAGGCAGTTCCCTGCCCTCTCTGGCTAGTTAGAATCTCAGGGTTGGGCAGCCAGGAAAGATGAGCCAGGTACCACCCAGGCTGCCTGGTTTACTAACACCTCCCTGCCTGGGGCTGGGGAAGGCCAGGCAGTTTCCTCCCTGAAGTAAGAATTTTCTCTCAACTCCATTTTGGATCTTTCTCACCTCAGATGATGGGGCTCAATCAACACCTGGGCCCGTCCGACACCCAGAACATATCCTAATGAGGAAGCGACTATCACAGACACACCCGCACGACCCCAAAGATGACAACATGCAACTGGCCACACACATGTAGACACTCAACCCACCTAGGCTACACCACTCATCTTTGCACGTCCTCAAATGTATTGTACCTGCTAAGACACACACACACCCACACACACACACACACAAACTAGAGAGGACCCACGACCTCGGCACTGCGACAACACACACTGTGACGGTCAGTCCCCAATACTCAGTCACACTCAGGGACACACGGAGGCAGGACATACACGCACACATGTGTGCATGCACACACACCCCGACACAGACACAGCCCTGATCACAGCACCAAGATGTCTGTCTGGAAAGCCACACAGCATGCAACAGACCAGCAAGGCAAAGGCTCTTCACCCCATGAGGCAGGTACACGCTCAGCGAGCTGGCAGAGACCCACCCCGCCCATCCTAAAATGTAGACACACTCGCCATCCCAAAGAAACACGACATGCCCAGCCCAGAAACACTCAGGTAGCCTGAGATGGGCATGCACGAGCAGGCACACAAGCTCGCACAAAGACAGACACTGCGCACACTCCCTGCGTGACCCCTTCTTCCAGAAACACTCAAGTATGACACAGGGGCACACGCCGAGACCCCAAATAACCAGGCACAGAGTCTCAGTCTCCACACACACACGCACACACGCACACACACACACACACACACAGCCCATCTGCGGGGCGTGTGGCTTGGATTCAAACGCACATCCAAGCCAGTCTTACTGTCCACGTCCCCAGCTCTGTGCGTCCACTGCCGTGCGAGCCATCCTCTCTCCTAGGGCTCCGGCTGGCTGGGCCGTCTCTCCCCGTCCCCCTGCCCGGGCAGTCCCGTCTGTCCATGTGTCCACCAGCACCCGGCCTCGTGCCCCCGCAGGTCCCCGTCCCCGCTCCAGCAGTGCCTGTCTGTCTCCAGTCTCCCTGCTGCTCTTTGCCTGCGGGTCCTGGGTCGAAGCAGGCTGGTGCGCATGGCAGAGACCCCAGGTCCTCAGGGCCCTGGGTCCTTGTGCCCCTTGGACCTCGATGCTTCACCCACCCTCCAAAAGACCCTCACGTCCCAGCAGGCAGGTGGCAGGGACATCTGGCTGTGAAGTTTTAGCCAAGTTTTTCATTAAGGGGACTCTGACAGAGACCTGGGAGGTAGAGGGAGGGGCGTGAGCGATCAGAAAGGAGGGGC